GGGGCTGGAGTGGATGGGGGACATATGTAGTGGTGGGGAAACTTACTACAGCCACTCTCTCAAGAACTGAACCTCCATCTCCAGAGACACGTCCAAGAACCAGTTCTTCCTGCAGCTGAGCTCCATGAGCACCGAGGACACGGCCCTGTATTACTGTGCCAGATACACAGTGAGGGGAAGTCAGTGTGAGCACAGACATAAACTTTTTGGAGGGAGACAGCAGGGCTGGGCTGCAGGGAGCGTCCTAGACACCAGGGGGCGCTCGGAACAAGGAACAGGCCAGGACCAGGAGTAAGTGGAGAGTTGAGCAAAGATACCTTTTCCTGCTCCCTCTTAAAATACTTTTGCTCCCAGGCTCAGCAAGAGAGATCACAGAAAGCCCTTTCCTAGGTCTAGTTTTAGAGATTGAATTTGTGAACAAATTGGGGGCTCTGTTCTAAATCTGACAAAACTCAGTGACTGACAGGACCCTCACAGGAGGCTCTGATCACACATTCCTCCCTGGGCAGTCCTGGGGGTGGGCACGCCCAGGCCTATGACTTCTTTACTAAAAGGCTCATCTTTGCCTTAAGCACCCCGTCCATTGTTCCTGTGCATCTGGGTTAACACACCTTTGACATCAGCATGACCACCCTCAGGAGAGCACATCCATGTCTTGGCCATCTGTGTATCCACTTTGGAGACTTAGCTATTAGTCCCTTTGCCCATTTTTCAATTGTGTTGTTGTCTTCCTTTTGTTTAGTTGTATGAGTCCCTATGCATTTTGGAGATTAACCCCTTAGCTGACGGACCCCTGCTGTTGCAAATGGTAAGAGTTCTTTCTTTATCACTGCTGCATAGCATTCCATGGTGTAGATGTACCAAGGTTTATTTTATCCAATCGTCTGCTGACGGGCACTTAGGCTTTTTCCAAAGCTTAGCTGTTGTTAATTGCACTGCTATGAGCATAGGGGTGCATGAATTCTCTCTGATGAGTGTTTTTGGTTTCTTAGGATGTATTCCTAAAAGTGGGATTACTGGGTCAAATAAAAATTCCATTTTTAATTTTTTGAGGAAACCTCATACTCTTTCCATAATGCTGCACCAGTCTGCATTGCTAACGGACCAAATAAACTGATGAACAAAAATAGACCCAATACACAGAAGCATGAATAGACCATGGAACCTCAGAGGGAAGGCAGGGGAGGGTGGGTGGGAAAAGATCAACCTATGAACTTGTCTGCATACTAGTATATGCCTAACCCATGAACACAGACAATGGGGTGGTGAGGGACTGGGGAGGGAATGGGAGTGAGAGGGAAGAGGATAATGGGGATGAGGGGGACTTAAGCAATACTTTCAACAATAAAAATTAGAAAAGAGAGAGAGAGAGACTATCCTGGCATCCAGTCCCAGTCTTGCTCTCTCCCACCTCCATGTCACTCCTCACCTTCCCTCCTTAACTTCAAATGCACAAACGCAGCTGCAAATGTTTATTCTCATGAGCATTTGAGGTCTTGCTCCCCCACAGTTTTCATCAGTTTGGCTCCAAATATCTTATAAAATGTTCTCTACATGTTAGGACATTTCTTATACCAAATTATTGTCTTTTCTTCATTTACAACATACGTTCATATGCGTGTTTTCTCCGTGTGGAGTGGGGAGTTCACACAATTATTAAAAACATGCTACCTGGGCAGGATGAGTTAGTTCTAAAGAGTTCACACCCTTTGGTGTGGGGATGATGCTCCAACCACTGAGACCCACGAGCCAGGGTCCATGTGTAAATGATGGAAATTCTCCCAATTTGAGAGGCTAGAAATAGAACGTTTGCACAGGAACAGCAGGGAAGTGGCGTGAAATGTGTATTTTCAGGAGGCAGCTGTGTGCTTGTGAGAGTGGCAGCAGGTTTGAGACAGAGGCTGCGTCCACAGCTTCCAGCCCAGCCTCTCCTGCCTCCTCACATGTACAGGTTAGAATTTTGTGGAGGACGTAATTGTAGAAAATAACAAGGAGAATCTTTCAGATTCAAAATAAAAGCATCATTCAATGCATATTCTTATTCCCAAACCCCAGAAAGGCGACATAGCCCACCGTGGGTGAAGGAGAATGAGAGAAAGCCCCATCCATGCACCTCTGGGGCAGCACCCCTGAGTCCTCATCAAAACCCCAAGGAAGGAGGACTCTCAATCCTGGAAGCTGCCCCCAAAGAAATGGGGTCAGGTGACGGGTCTCAGGAAAGGAGGGAGGGAGGGGGGTCAGGAAGGAACCCTTGTGGCCAGCGTCCTTGAGTCCTTTCCCATCTGGGGTCGCCGCTAGGATGACAAGGTCAGGCATGCAACCCAGGGTCCCAGCTGCACCTTATATGCAGACTGCATGCAAATGGGGCTCTCCTCCTGCTCATAAAAGGGGGCCCTTGCCCGGCATGTTGGGGAGACACCCAGAACCCAAGCACCTGAGACAGGACCCCAGCGCCTCCACCATGGACTTGGTGCCAAGCTGCGTTTTCCTCCTGATCATTTCTCAAGGTCGTTCTCAGGAGTGGGGAGCGCTGAGACCTGTGCCTGTGCCTGTTGGTGCTTCCATGTGATTCTCAGTCCACCTTGTGTCTCTGTGTTTGCAGGTGTCCAGTGTGAGGTGCAGCTGGTGGAGTCTGGGGGAGGCCTGGTGCAGCCTGGGGGGTCTCTGAGACTCTCCTGTGCAGCCTCTGGATTCACCTTTGATGACTACTACATGCACTGGGTCCGCCAGGCTCCAGGGAAGGGGCTGGAGTGGGTCTCAGGCATTAGTTACAGTGGTGGTAGCACATACTACGCCGAGTCTGTGAAGGGCCGCTTCACCATCTCCAGGGACAACGCCAAGAACACGCTGTCTCTGCAAATGAACAGCCTGAGAGCCGAGGACACTGCCGTGTATTACTGTGCAAGAGACACAGTGAGGGGAAGTTAGTGTGAGCCCAGACACAAACCTCCCTGAGGAGACAGCAGGCTGGGCTCCAGGAAGAGTCCAGGACACCAGGGGGCGCTCAGGACCAGCAAACCCAGGCTCCCAGCTCAGAGGCTGTCCCTAGAGGGTGGTGCAGGCTTCCTATTGGGGTCAATGCTTTCTTCCCTCCTAGTGTCCCTGGGGCAGTTCCTCCTTCCTTCTTTGTGTCTTTAATTAGATTCTCTGCAGGAAAAAAGCAGGAAGTGGCTGTGTGTCCGATCTGGTCTACTTCTCATCTGGGTCCTTCCTGTCACCATGTCCCTGATGTTTGCTCTCTGGATTGACAATGAAAACATTGTAGGGATTCCCATCCCCTCACTGACAGGGATTCTCCCCATCCTCCACACAGTGCTGAGTGGGGACACGGAGTCCAGATCCAAACCCCACCAGTGATGACCAGCCCCTCTCTCTGCCCCAGGAGGAGCCCTTTGGGGGCAGTTAGCCACTTGCCTCTCACTGACATGGCTGCACATGAAGTTTTAGGGTCTGACCCCTGTGGGCGCTGCCCCTTCGTGAGCCTGGCAGTTGCTCTCAGCTCCTAGGCCGTCCTGGGACACAGGCCAGAAGGACACCCAGTGACGGGCCCTGTCACAGCCCTGCTGGGCCCTGTTCCCTGTGGTTCTCAGAACTTGGTCCCTGGGGACCTGTCCCAACACCTGTCCAGCTTCCCCTGGGGAACCACCTGCATCCTGAGTGTAAGGTCTGGGGCTGGGAAAATAGGGTCTTTCCTGATCCCACCAGCTGAGTTGGAACAAAACAACCCAGAACTGCGGAGCCACATTCTGCTGGACAATCGCTGCCATCCTGGGACCCACCAGAGCATCCTGTTGTGCTGATGGCCAATAAATAACCACCGGAGACTTCTCAAGGTGGCCAGGGTGCAGCTGCACCAACTTCCCGCTCATAAATCACCCGCCACAAGCTACCTCCAATAAACCTGATTGGTCCAACAGCAGCATAAAAAATCTCTGCCAGGCATAGGCAGGTGTGACTCCCCCGGCCTGCACCCCCAGACCGGGGGACCTCACCCGAGATCTTCCAATAAACACGATATTTCGCTCTTACCTTGCTTGTCTTGGTCAATTTATTGGCTTTGGTCAGGTTAAATCTTACATCTCAGATTAAACCTTACATTAAACCTAACACTGAGAACCTGCTGAAAGGTGACATGGTCCCACCCACCCCTGCTGTGCCTCTCGCTCCACAGACACCACCCCATCCTCACCCTCTGTCCCCGCTGCATATACTCTCACCCCTTGGGGCCTGCACAGGACGTCCTGAGTGGATGTGTCTGCCCTCTCCTTCCCGCCCTTGTATGATTTGCCTTAGATGCAGCCCCATGTCATCCTCTCATGGCCATCTCCGGTGCCAGGCCCTCCCTCTGCCGTCCTGCTGAGCCCAGGTGCAGTGCCCACGTGTGACGTCTGTCCGTGGCAGCCCCTCCTGTGTCAGGTGGAGACACAGCTTAGCACTGAGCTCACAGCACCTCCAACAGCTCACACCTGTGCTGAGGGAAACTCCAAGGGGCCTGTGAGCTGCAGAGCATCATGGTGGACAAGCCTGTGGCCACTGGGGTCAAAGGGCAGTCAGGGAAGGGCTTGGGCCTGGTCACCTATAATGTTTCCAATGTCCCGCTGACCAGAGCCCAATTGCATAGGGAGCTCTGTGAATCCTAAAAGTGCAGATACATCCCAGCCAGCATGGTTCAGTGGTTGAGAGGCGACCTGTGAACCAGGAGGCCATGGTTCGATACCTGGTCAGGGGACATGCCCAGGTTGCCACCAATATCCACAGTGTGGGGCGTGCAGGAGGCAGCCAATCAGTTATTCTCTTTTGTCATTAATGTTTCTCTCTCTCACTCTCCATTCATCTTAATATATATTTTAATATATTTAAATGAATAAATGAAAATCTTGGAGGTGTGATTAGCAGTATGGGTGTATATGGGAGGCAACTAGTCAATATTTCTCTCACGTCGATGTTTCTCTCAGTCCTTCCCTCTCTCTCCTTTCCTTTCCCTCTAAAAATCAATGAACACGTCCTCAGATGAAGACAAAGAAAAGAAGGTCCAGCCTGGCTCATGTGGCTCAGCTGTTGAGCATCGACCCAGGACCCAAGAAGTCACTGGTTTGATTCCTGGTGAGGACACATGAATGAGTTGCAGTCTCCATCCCCAGAGGGGGTCATGCAGGAGGCAGCCAATCGATGGTTCTCTCTCACGGATGTTTCGTGATATGTTTCTCCCTTTTCTTTCTCTCTAAAAATCAAGAAAATCGTATTTTTAAATGATGTATATCTATGTCTATCTCTACATCTATATACCTGTATATCTATATCTATATCTA